CATTTGCAGCTCTTTGCCAAGCCAAGGCCAAACCATCGGCGATCCCTCATGGTGGATGCGATGGTGGTAAATCGATGATGCATTACATGGTGTGGGGCAAAGAAAATAAGGAAGAAGGAAAGAAGAATAGGTCTCGTGGGTGGAGCGTCAAAGCCACTCAAGTTCACGATCCCTCAATCATGGACTCGTCCAATGCTCATGACTTGAGACATCACCTCACCGACGAGAACCTCAACTTCAAGGAGGTTCTTGGGGGGACCGAAACTTGAGGAGAAACCGTCCGACTCACAACGTTAAAAAAGCGCTTAATGGGAGGCAACCCAACCATCAACGGTGCGTCTCTTTTCCTTTCAATAAGATGACTAATGGAGAGATTTTGGTGGTGTTTTCCCATCTCCTTGCTCTTCCAGATCTCTCGCCTGACCTCCGCTTTCGATCACCAACATTCACAACTTGACCGGTAACATTGTTCTACCTCCTTATATTACGCCATTGAGGGCAATGTCGAGCTTAAGTGGGGGGGGGGGGGTAGTCCATTATACATGTTGGTGTGAATGATTGGTGTGATTTTGAATGCTTGGAGCCTAGTTTTATGCCCATATTTTTAAAATTTGAGGGCTCCAAGCATAACAACTTCTGCATTTGCATGATCATAGTGGCACCGTGTGGTGATTTGTTTTGAATCTTGTGGTTATGAGCATTGTCTATGGATAATTTTCTTGTGATTATGTGCAACCTATGATGATGATTGAGACATGTATTAGGTTTGTGCATAGGTTCATTTCTCATGTGTTTGTGAACCGATATATGTTTTGAATCGATTACTTGCTTTTCACAGTTGCCTATGAATCGAGTTTAGGGAATTAGAACGAATGATTGAGCACCTAGGTAGCCATGTGAGATACTTGCGTCCTTCGTTTCGTTCTTGTGAGATAGATCCCCCTTTACATGATGCGTATCATTCATGTTGTTGCTAGCGAGGAAGATGGAGGCATAGGATTAGCCCACGACCCAAAAGTTGACCGACCCGATCATATTATCCCTTAGTCAACCCTTTTGAGCCGTGTGTCTAAGGTTCGTTCTAGTGTTAGGTAGCTCACGCTACTTGAGCTTGATTGATTTAGATAGAGCGACCCTACTTTCATCGTGTCTACACCGTTATCGAGTCGCCCTTGCGTTTTGAAGCTCCATTCATACCATTTGAGCTTAACGAGGTTCCACATGAGTGATTTGTGTATGGTTTTGCTAAGAAGTGAAGTGAGTGTGGAGGTAGTTGACTTGCACGAAACTACACCACAAGTAAACCCCAATTAGAGCCCAAGTTTTTAAACTCTAATCGGGTGTAGTACAGGGCAAGTATTTAGATATCGACCCAGGCCGGTCCGTCTATCCCTACTTCCATTGATGAAATCATTATCTAGCAAACTTTGGTTTCAAAGGTTTGATAATTGAAGTAAAATAAAACAAAGGTGATTGGGTTTGAAAACTCTTTTTTGGGAAAGACACTCGGGTTTCGCTTCCTCCTAACCATTACTATGCTACGTGGATTGGAACGATTGCCTTGGGCACGTTAATCGTGAACCGCAGAGGAAAGTGTATGTGGTCAGAGACCATGGTCTCAATTGCTAAACCGAGGTGAGGATGAAAGGCCGTGTCACTCGACCCTCTCGGTTTAGACAATCGGTAATCGGCTTACTTCCTCATTAAACTGGAAGGTCGGACGGTTTAACCACAATTAATCGACTTGTTTAATTCAATGTTGAGGGTTGCCCTAACTCAACCTAGTTTAGGTGGCTTAGGTGGCAAATTAGATTACTAGCACCTAAATGCACAAACTTAGGGGTGCTAAGCACAATTATGCACAATCCCTAGGATGCTAAGCATAAAACATGCACAACCCCTAAGTTGCAAAGCACAAGCATGCACAATCATGGCGAATAATGCCTCAAACATTAAATTGAACAATACCCAATAAAAATTATCCAAACCACATACAAGAAAACTACATGGTAGAGCTAGGGTTTCACTACACCCAAGTGAAAGGAGGTCTACTCCATGCTAGAAGTGGGAAGAACAAAAGGGAAAAAGGTGGAAACCATATTTTGGGGATGCCTCCTCTCTTCATGACCCTTGAGTTGAGCTTTCCTTGGGGAAATATTTCCAAAATTCTGCCTTGAAGTCAAACCCTAACCTTCTTCTTCCCTTTGGTTCTGTTTCCTTCACTAGAATGCTGAAGAAGGTGTTCTCTCACAAAAGTGGGCTTTCCCCTCTCTCCTCCTTGCAGCTCAGCTTTTAAACTCGAGAAGAGCTGAGTTCACAGCCTGAGTTCACGGCCGTGAACCATCAAACGCGTATGTGAACTCAAGGCGTGCGCCAAAACGCTCCGCATCGGTCATGTCAGTTCATGGGCAACTGCTTGTGTTCATGATCTTAGTGACCGTGAACTCACCTTGCGTCAGTAACCTTCACATTGGCTCTAGACGCTTAGCGATTCACGGTCAAGTCTCCTTCTTCACGGCCTTGCATGACCGTGAACTCCTTCAGTTAACCGTGAACTGGTGCCTTTTCACCTCTTCTCCCGATTTTCGATCCTTTTCGCCAATCTTTCGACTCCGAGGCTAGTTTTACTTGTTAAATCCTGAAACACACTCAAACACGAAGAACCTAGCATAAAACCAACCTTTAAGGAGCGAATTTGGCACAAACATCAAGGTAAAACGGGGCCAAAACATGTGCAATTAGGCGCGAATCACTCCCCCACACTTAGACGTTTGCTTATCCCCAAGCAAACGATTTTACACACACATTAATATTTCAACCCATACAAATGCTTTATGGACAACTCAAAGGACACGAAGTGGGAATTGTTGATGTTAACTGACAACCAACACATGAACCGTTGCAAGTAATGCCGACATCCACCACAAACGACATTCAAAGCCACCAAAATGGGGAAATGAAAAGTTCTCAACTTATTCATGGATAAATGGAAGTCTCAACAAAACCACTTATCGACCACAACCAACCATGCATGGAATTCAAGTCCGAGGAAAAAATGAAAAGGCAACGAAGGTCCTCACCGGGGTATGAAATGGTAAGTAAAACAAGAATGGATCACTCACTCTCAAGACCAGTGGGGTCGGTACCTTTTTGGTGCAAAAAATGTGCACAATCGTAACCTCTTGGACTTATCGTCTCAATACCATGGCGGTAACCTCTAAACGCTAGAGTTCATGGGATGGTTGTCACCACTAGCACTTCCGGAGGTCTTAGACACGGGTTCAGATGACTGGCGATTGGCTTGGACACGGGGAAAAGGCTTTTTGGGTGGTGGCATTCATGACGTGAGGTTCTACATCTTCAACCTAAACCCGAAGGGTCTATGGTTTTGACTAAAACCCTTTTCTTCAATCAAAGGCCACTAGCATCGGCCAAAACCCTTATCTCTCCCTTCCAACTATCACCCATCATGAACTACCTTGAAGCACTCTTCCTCGGTCAACTCTTGCTATTTCTTTAAAGTTTGGTAGTGAAGGAGTTCTAAACAATGTAGGGGGTTTGATTGCTTGGGTGCCAAGAAACCCCTCCTAGAGCAGGTACTTTGGTTTTTTCGTGGCACTCTCTACTTTATTTACCCCGTTTTATTACCTCTTTTTTGTTTCTGTTTTCTTTTTTTTTTCTTTTCTTTTCGAGGGGGAGGGTACTAGAGAGTAACAACACTTGCCACCTATACTTTTAATGACCAATTCTCTCTTTTTGAGGAACTCACTCCAACACTACACTTCATTTTTCTCATCCCTAGCAAGGACCACACACAAACCTCCTATGTAGACCTCTATGGAAACTCAACGGTAAGAGCTCTGGGACACACGGGCGACTCATGTTTGGACACGAAGAAAGGATTTGGGGGTCGTTCTACTAACACCTTTAATCTCACACGAACGAAGCTCCTAAATTGAGAACGACCCACGGAGTCACAAGGCTCAGAGGGGTTGACTAAGTGATGATGCATTTCGGGACAATCAACTTTTGGGCGTGGACTCATCCTATGCCTCCATCATACTTGCTAGTAACAACTATGATGCTACACACCGTGGTAAGAGGTAACTATCACACCGAAAGAAACGAACGACTCAAAGCTCACAGGCTACCTTGTTACACAACCATCTATTCCAATTCACAAACACGATGCATGGCAATTGTAAACAACAAGTGATCAGATCAAATCAAGACATCCATTCATTTATGCACACTTGAGAACTAAAACTTTTCCCTATCCTAATGAACTTCTCAGTCATCATCATAGGATATACTCGATCACATGCAACAATTCAAGATCAATGCCAGAAACACGAGAATTTCCCACCATCCAGCCACTTTGAACATGCAAACATTGCTTGGAGCCCTCAAATTTTTGAAATTTGGCCATACAAAAGGCTCCAAGCAACATTTCACTCACACAAGCATACTAGTAGACTACCCTCCCCCCCCCCCCCCCCCCCCACACACACTTAAAATGGGCATTGCCCTCAATGGCGTAAGAAAGGGGTAGAGTGATGTTACCGCTTGGGCTTGGTGAGTGAATGTAGCAATCAAACCGGGGTAGGATAATTTGAGCTTCAAGGAGAGACAACAAAAAATACAAACAAGCACAATACGACTCGCTCGAGGCGAGGTTATTACAAGCACAATACATAGTAGTAGTAGTAGTAGTTTATGTCACACACACACAAATAAAAAAAATAAAAACAAAACAAATTTAGGGTTACAAGTAGAGATGTGGGGCGAAAGGACTCTGCTCTGCCACATGTCTCTCTCGTCGGCTACCTCTCTCTGGTGGATGGACCCTCGCCAGACTCGGGTAGGATACCCTAGTGTCGAGCCATGAGTTTGAGGATGTCGAATTGGCGCTCGAGGCGGGATGAGAATCCCATGAAGCTTGTCTCAAGGCGATCCACCCTTTGGACGAGGGGATCGCCTGCTCCTGGTGGTGGTGGCTGCTATGCAGGGAGCGGGAGTGCTGGACGGCAGCGGCGCCCGGGTGCTCGAGCCGGTGGCTGCTCTGCTGCTGGTGGGACCTCGAGGTTGGGCTCCACTGGAGCCGGTGCTGCTGCAGCTCGAAGTCCATCAAGGTACTCCACTCCTCTCTTGCCCTGGAGTACCAGCTTCTGGTGGTACAATGTCTCCACCTGGGAAGGGCTCCATCCTTCCGACGCATAGTGTCCACCCTGTTCCGCCCCATACCACGGGGCGAAGGAGGTGGCAATCAATGATCCCAGATGCATCGGCTCGGCTGTACTCCTCAATGAGTAGAGGGCAATGAGCCCTCTATTCGTCATCAAGTGGCCTGAATGAGGCTGGGGGACGACCGATCTGATGAGCAGAGTGTGGAGAATCCTCTACTAGGTCTTCAGCTTTATAGCATTAGTTTGGCTCCCCTCGAACTCGCTCTGCTCGTGCTCTGGGCGGTAGAGGGCTCTGAATGTGCCCTGATAGTTGAAGTCGATCGTGTACTACCACTCCGTCATCGTCTTGTGAGCAGTGTCGAGTCCCATGGCCTGAGCGAAGCCATCATAGGTCAGCACTCGCAGCTGACTGCCCAGAATAAACTCCACCTGAGGCCGGCTCTTCTTGCTGGTCGGGACGATGTGGGAGAAGGTGGAGTAGAACTCCACACATAGCTCATGGAAAATCTCCTCGTCCATGGTCAGGAGCTGGCGCCACTGGGGAAGGGGGAGTACTCTAGTCATGGTGGCTCGGCACCTGAACAAAATTAAACATGTCTAGGTCCAGCCGGCAGTGAGGCCCGATCGGGCTGTCACTCTGGTAGGCGAACTTGTCGCCAAACTCCGGGTGGTTCACCAGATAATTGATGAACTCATGCTCCAAGTTAAGCATCCTGCACAAAAGCAAACACACACCATACGTGGAAACATCTGTCATATACCGCTCATTGGGAGGAAAAGAGATCCCCCCACACTTGTTTTTCCACCATGGCTAAAACATTTAAGCTCAAACCACAGTGGCATGGTTGTGGGTATTTCACGGTTCAAGCACACAAAATTGAACCACAACCCCTACCACGGCGGCTACCATCCACCAATAAAAAAAACTCCACTTGCATTCATAACATAGAACTTGGTGGGAAAATTCTAAAAATAAACACAATTCGGTACAAACACGCTCAACAAGGCTCACTAAGCTCATGCAATAATCAATCCATCAATCACACGACCTAATTCACCTAAATTCGCGCCCTAACAAGATTCAATCATGCCAAGCACAAAAATTCAACCTCACTTCACTACCTAATCCGATTCTCCACAATTTACAAAGTTAAAGTTGAAAAACAAACTTGGAGACTCAAGTAGGATGAGGGAGGAAGTGAGGTGCGGGCGAGGATGGTGAAAAACGGTCGGAAAACTGGACGGAGAGGGTTCGCCGGAGCTTTGTCGGAAGCTCGCCGGAGACTCGCCGCTGGTGATTTGGCCGGAAAAAATATGCTCCAAATCTCCCCAAAATCTCAGCACAAACCGGTTTTGAGGAGAGGAGGCTGGGTATGATGTTGGTTTTGGGTTTTGCTCGCCGGAAATGGGGGAAAGATCGAAAACGAAGGGTTTTTGCGTTTTTCCTGCAAATATTTGAATTTTCCGGCGAGAATTTGGTCGTGAAGTGAAGGGTCAGCGTTCACGCCCCTTTAATAGGCAGAGCTCTGAGTTCACGGACGCGTTTCCTAGTTCATGGTCTTAGTGACCGTGAACTCGCGAATGCGTCCGTGAACACGGAGTAGTTGACAGATGGTGAACATGCATCATCGCCCAGTTCACGGACGCGTTTGCTAAAATTTTACACAACCTATTCCTCTGTGCCTCCTAATCGATCATAACACAACCATAAACCGCAAAATCACAACACTCGGCACGGGGACACCACTTCACCACTCGAACCCTTCACAAGACACTAAAACGGAAACTAAGGAAAAGAAAACAAACCTCCGTTGGGTTGCCTCCCAACAAGCGCTTGTTTATCGTCATTAGCTTGATGGTTGGGGATCAATCACGACTTCAAACGTGATGCCACCGAGAGCGGATTCACCACACTCTCGGGGCGAGGCTTGTAGCCTCCCATCTTAGGCTCCTTGAGTTGGCCCTCTTGGTTGGCCAACATTGCTTCGGCCTCCCTTGTCTTCCGGGTCAAGGCTCCCTTCATCCTTCTTCTCCAAGCATTCAATCTTGGTCCTTTGGTCTTAGGACCCTTCTTAACTTCCTGCTCAACATCATCAAAGACAACACAAGTAACGGTGGGGTTTGCCTTGAGAGGCTCTCCTCCACTCTCATTCACATCATCTCAAACTACTCCCTTCACTTTATCACTCCTCACCCTAGGATCAATTTCAAGCTTGATTCTCTCCTTACCATCCCTCAAAATTAGGGTTTCCTCATTAACGTCTATCAATGCCTTGGCAGTTGCAAGAAAGGGACGACCGAGGATGAGGGGCATATCTGAGTCCTCACTTATGTCGAGAATAACAAAATCGGTCGGATAGCAAAACTTTCCACTCTAAGCATCATGTCCTCCACTATACATCTCGAGCTAATGACTGAACGGTCGGCTAAGGTGATGCTAAGCTTAGAGGTCTTAAGTTCACCTACTTCTAACTTTTTGAAAAGCTTGTAGGGCATCACATTCACACTAGCTCCTAGGTCCGCCAAGGCATTGTCTATATGGTGATCACCAATATCAAGAGGGATAGTAAAGCTACCTGGGTCGAACCGCTTTTTAGGCAAGTGGTCTAGGAGGAAAGTCGAGCACTCCTCGCCAAGAGTCATGTTGGCGAGGCCTTCAAGCCTTGGATCCTTGATGAGGAATCCTTTGAGGTACATGGCATATCTTGGCATTTACGCCATGGCTTCAAGGAACAAGATGTTGAGGTGGAGGTTGCGTAGCATTTCCATGAACCCTCCACAATCGTTGTCCAACCTCTCCTTGTACATCCTTGTGGGATAAGGAAGAGGTGGCACGTATCCATCCTCCAACAAATCCTTCTTTGCCGCCTTCCTCTCATTCCTTGAGGGCTTCTTCTCTCCCTTCTTCTGAATGGTATCTTCCTTGTTTGAATCCTCATTCTCCACCACTTCATTAGTGGTGACTTCCGAAACCACCTTCACACTTCTCACTTGAAGTGCATTCACCCCAGCTTGATTGGGATTCGCCACGATTTGGGAAAGCAAGGCTCCCTTGGATCTCTCGGTAAGGATACCGACAAGGTTGCTGATTTGCACTGCCAAGCTTTGAAGGCTCGCTTGATGGCTTCGAAGACCTGCCTCAACTGAGGTAAACTTGGTGGTCGCCATATTAATAAGTTTCTCTATCTTCTCGAACTTTTGGCTACTCGTACTCACAAAGGTGTTCACTAGGTCCTCAAGCTTGGATAACTTGTCGGATTGATGTTGTTGTTGAAACCCTAGGGCACCTTGTGGTTGGTATTGTTGTTGAAAGTTGAGCCTTGGGGTTGAGGCCTTTGTTGGATGAAGGTTGGCCGAGGTTGGAAGTTCCACTTGGGGCCTTGCAAACCCAGGGGCCTCGGATTAGCCGGTGATGCCCAAGCAAAGTTGGGGTGGTTCCTCCATCCGGGGTCATAAGTATTGATATACGGGTTGTTGACCCTAGCATTTTCCACAAAGTTGACTTGCTCCTCCGGAGTGGTTTCCTCCTTCATTGCTTGGCACTCCGCCATCTCGTGGTTAGTACTCGAGCACCAGTCGCACGACATTGTCGCCCGTTTTCCTTGCCTTTTATCTTCAAGCATAACCTCATGCAACTTATCCAACTTTGCCTCAAGCGGAGCACTTGCTCCCACGCTTCTCACTCCCCTTTCATTGCTTCTTCTTCCACTTCTAGTCAACCCCCAATCATACCCCCTAAGGTTCATGTCTTTTAGGATCTCAGTTATTTGTGGCGGAGCCATATTCATCGACTTCCCCTGACACAAGGAGTCAATAAGGATCTTATCTTCTTGCATTAGGCCTCCATAGAAGTTTTCAATCCGAAATTGATCTACAACCCCGTGGTGAGGGCACTGAAGAAAGTAATCGGAGTACCTCTCCCAAGAATCCGTCAAGGTTTCGTCCTCTTCTTGCTTGAAATGTGTAATCTTCTTTCTCCACTCCGCCGTCTTCGAAGGCGGGCAATAACGAGCCATGAACTTGTTAAGGAGGTCGTCCTATGAGGTGATAGACCCAGGTGGGCGGTTGTTTAGCCACCTAAGTGCCTTCCCCAAGAATGAGTATAGGAAAAGCCTTAGTTGCAAAGCTTCGGCCGACACACCATTAGTTTTCAAGCTCCCGACGAGCTCCAAGAATCTCTACACCTGCTCTCTTGGTGACTCGCTTTCATGGCCGTGGAAGAGAGCATTACTTTGTATCATAGTCACTAGAGCCGGCTTGATCTCGAAATTGTTTGCCGCCACCGAAGGATGTAGGATCGGCCATTGAATGTCCGCTGACCTTGGGGCCATATAGTACCCCATCTTCCTCGGGACTCCTTCTTCTCCCGCCTCCTCATTCATATGGCGGGCTTAAGCGCCTTCTTCTTGTCTTTGGTTCCCCGCCATTTCCTCTTCAAAGACGGGTTCAACTTGACTTCTTCAACTCCTTCTCCACTAACACCGGGACTCAATTGTTGTCCCCCTCTTTCACTCCTTCTCCTTGCCTCGGCTAGCTCTCTCTCCCTTGCTAGGAGTCGGAGAGTTCTGTTTATGTCCTCGTCAAGTGGTAGCAAGGGTGCCGGGTTGCTCCGAATCATGCACCTCCTACACACAATCGGAAACACCAAGTCAAGCACAAGCAAAGAACACACACACACTTGCAAAACTGGAAATTAAAAGCTAGATTAACAACCAACAACTTTTTTAGAATAATAGACCGTCATCCCCGGCAACGGCGCAAAAAACTTGACTCGCACGAAACTACACCACAATTAAACCCCAATTAGAGCCCAAGTTTTTAAACTCTAATCGGGTGCAATATAGGGCAAGTATTTAGATATCGACCCGGGATGGTCCGTCTATCCCTACTTCCATTGTTGAAATCATTATCTAGAAACTAAACTTTGGTTTAAAAGGTTTACTAATTGAAATAAAAGAAAACAAAGGTGATTGGATTTGAAAACTCTTTTGTGGGAAAGTCAGTCGGGTTTCGCATCCGCCTAACCGCTACCATGCTACGTGGATTGGAACGATTGCCTTGGGCAAGTTAATCGTGAACCGCAGAGGAAAGCATATGTGGTCGGAGACCACAGTCTTAATTGCTTAATTGAGGTGAGTATGAAAGGTCGTGTCACTCGACCTCTCGGTTTAAACAATCAGTAATCGGCTTACTTCCTCACTCAACTCGAAGGTCGGACGGTTTAACCACGATTAATCGACTTGTTTAATTCAATGTTGAGAGTTGCCCTAACTTAACCTAGTTTAGGTGGCTTAGAAAGTGGAAGGAAAACCAACTCGAATGAGTCTCCCTTGAAAGGGGGATTTTCCTCTCTAAACTAGGCTAAGGTGGCAAATTAAATTACTAGCACCTAAATGCACAAACTAAGGGGTGCTAAGCACAATTATGTACAATCCATAGGATGCTAAGCACAAAACATGCATAACCCCTAAGTTTCTAAGCACAAGCATGCACAATCATGGTGAATAATGCCCCTCAAACATTGAATTGGACAATACCCATTAACAATCATCCAAACGACATAC